TGTGTAAACTGAGCTGAAATTACTGAAGGATGTATTCCAAATTCATGCAGATAAAAAAAAAAAAAAAGAAGAGGTCCTATAGGCATCATCAATGTAAAAATTATGAGGTGCAACAGGAAAATCTTGTTATAAAAGTAGAAAAGGGGAGGCTGGGCGCAGTGGCACTTTGGGAGGCTGAGGCGGGTGGATCACGAGGTCAGGAGTTCGAGACCAGCCTGGCCAGCATGGTGAAACCCTGTCCCTACTAAAAGTACAAAAATGAGCTGGGTGTGGTGGCACGCACCTGTAATCCCAGCTACTCGGAAGGCTGAGGCAGGAGAATCACTTGACCCCAGGGAGGTAGAGCTTTTAGTGAGTAGTGATTGTGCCACTGCACTCCAGTCTGGGCGACAGAGCGAGACTCCGTCTCAAAAAAAAAGTAGAGAAGGACCGGGTGCAGTGGCTCACTCCTGTAATCCCAGCACTTTGGAAGGCTGAGGTGGGCAGATCACGAGGTCAGGAGTTCGAGACCAGCCTGGCCAACACGGTGAAACCTCTACTAAAGCATCTACTAAAAATACACAAATTAGCCGGGCGTGGTGACACACGCCTGTAATCCCAGCTACTTGGAAGGCTGAAGCAGGAGAATTGCTTGAATCTGGGAGGTGGAGGTTGCAGTGAGCCAAGATTGTGCCACTGCACTCCAGCTCTGGGCGACAGAGCAAGAATCCATCTCGGGGGAAAAAAAAAAAAAGTAGAAAAGATGGGGTCCTGAAAAGTCATCAGCTATCAAAAAGGATTCCTGATAGAAAAAATTTTGAACCTTCTGTGAAAAGACAGTTTGCAGTACATCTCAAGTGAGGTTTATTTCAAACTTCACCCAAGTGGCAGCCACAGGATCAAACATACTCAGCTCCCAGCATCTTTGGGTTCTCATAACACAGGCCCAGTAAGGACTTATCGAGCATTGGAGGAAACTGGTAATCAATGCAAGATTAGACGATGCATTCTGGTATTCCAATCCAACCTCAATGCCTTGATTATGCCTACCCAAGATACTGGGAGTTTCTGTACAACACTGACAGACATAAGTAAAACAAACAAAGAGGTTTAAACACTAACAGAAAAGAAGTCTGGGATCCACCCATGATTGAGATATCACTCCTAGCAAAATGAAAACTTGAAAACCATGGGACAGTCAACATGGGTGGATTCTCTTAGAAACAAGTATGAATGTTTTACTTGAAAGGAGAAAACAGCAGAGGAATACATGCTCACACAATTCACTTCCACCACTGTTGGTAAAATTGTGACCCCACCACTGAGAAAGAAGTGAAAGGCACTCCAAAGCAAGGGGGCAAAGGCAACCGACAGCAAGTCAATACTCCACCTACTCGGATGTGGGACCCGATGTGGGTGGCGGTGACTATGGGGCGCCACGCTGTCCGGTATGGTGTGAAAGTCTAAACCAGTGACAGACACGTTATCCAGGACACAGACATGCCCTCACACACCACCCACCTTCCTCTACTACCACTGCCTGCCAAACTAAGTAATGAGTTAGGGGACCAAATAAATGACCAAGCCAAGATCACCATAGTAACTGTGAGCATGAAAGTAAAAACGAAATGAGAGCTCCTGCTCAAATTAAAAATGAGGCCACAGAAGACTAGAGAAAATCCTCTCACATTCAAGTCAACTGTCCATCTCACATATTTCATTTTTACACCCTCAAGGAAAGAACTAGGGCAAGGCCTGTCCCAGTACTGGAACCATTTTCCCATTGCTGATGTGTCTGATCTTGTAAATACTGCAGGTAAGAGAGAGTCCAGCTTCACAGCCTTACTATTATTTGCGAGTGTGAGTGGGCAGGGAGGCAGGTGCGCTTCATAAACATGTGGAAAGCTGATGGGGTGGAGAAGCAAGCCTGGTTCTGACTCAGGTGGATTTCTCAACAGGGACATAAGCAAGCAACAGGAGCCTTCAGAGAAGTAGATGGTGGAAACATTAAGCAAAGAAGACAGGAATGAAGTACAGGTTGGAAAAAC